CACCAAAATGAATGAGTCAACTGTTTGAATACAAAAGAGCCAAAAATCCTCTTTTTACATCAGTAAACTTTACACAGCAGGCTCTTGTTAAGTAACCCAGCCAGTGTTTAATGCTGTATGCCAGTAGATGCCAAAGGGACAGGAGAGGTAATATTGTACGTTTTATATTTTGCTCAGACAGGACAACTTCAGTATGATGATGAGTCTTGCTCTCGACCCCTTTAATGGTGAGAAGTAAAAGTATCAAAGATGTCTACACTTGAAAATAGTCGGCGCTGATCTACAATGGAGATAAAAGCCTAAAATATACTTGAGCTATATCCATCACAGTTTGTCCACCAGAGAGCACTGTCAAGTTAATATTTCAGCAATGACAGTGCGTACATGTGGACGTTTAGCGGGTTATGTTAGTAACATTTGCAAATTAGCACTAGACAAAGTTGAAGCTGATGTGAATGTAATACGTTTTGCGGGTATTTCATCATTGTATTTGGCAACTGAAAAAATTTGATGCTGCTAGATTCGTGGGGTTGTTCCTGAGACGGAGACATTGTTCCAGTCCAAGTCAGTGGGCTTCATCCTCTGGGGAACTTGAATGTCTGTACCAAAGGCCATTGCATAGTTGTCAAGATATTTCACTAAAACACAAAAATGTCAACCTGCTTGTGACGCAAATGCCAGAGGATCAGCAAAGTTATTCGGCTTCCTCCTCTGGGGAACATGAATATCTGCACCAGAATTCCTGGCAATACATCCAATAGTCCAACATCCAAAAGAGACATTTCAGTCTGAACCAAAGTGGTGAACCAACTGATAGACAGGCATTGCTATCCATAAAGCCATGATGCTAGTGTGGCTACTATTGACTATCAGCTGGTTTATTGATATTGGATGTTTAGAACTCAAATTTCTCTCCCCGTTAGAGAGGATGATACTCTTGAGTATCAGTACAAAATATTAGCTTTCAGCAGCTTCTTTTGAAGTGTTTACTTTCAGGTTTCTAACTTTAGACCTGCTCCCATCTTCCTTTGCCCCTCCCTTATAAATAAAGAAAACTTGACCAATAGGAGAGCTAATGACTGTCTCAAGGCTGTCTCTCTCTGTCGATCCCTGTGTTTCTCTTCCCTTCTAATTTAACTTCCTGGTGCTCTCACCCCCTGCTATCCTCTCGATACTTTAGCACTTTCCTGCTGCGTAGCGTTCAGCAGCAGTTACTTTCCCCCCCACTTAAATAGTCTAAATCTGTTAGTGGATCCATGCAGGAAGCCAGGCAGTCATTTGAGCTGCATTGTGTAATTACAGCTGGGACTATTTTAATGACTGTTTATCCACACGGCTGCAGTCGTTGCAGCGAAATTGGGGTCAATTACATGATCCTCCACATATGCGAGCGCTTCCATCTACCGTGTGGCTCCCAACTCCAAGACCCCTTCAGCTCATTTACACTTAAATGGCACACATACACATATATATGAAAGGATATTTTGACAGGTACATATGTGCACAACTAGTACAACTAATGCACTCATTCATATATGAATTCAAGCTCATCCACACAAACACTGAGAGGTCTCCAGCAGGCTGCAGATTATTATTCGTGTGTGGTGTTTGTTTTAATTGCTCTTGTCCCAGCATTAACTCTACATTTGTTTTGATGCTGCTGTGCAGTCACACATTAAATGGCTCTGTAGGTGTGTGTTTGTGTGTGTGTGTGTGGAGAATTTGAAGTAATTATGGTATGTCTGACATTGAGATTCCGATGACTTGTTAAAATGTGACCTTTTTAAAAAATATTTCTGTAGAACTATGGCCCAAATAGCATTACTGAAGTGTGTATTGAGTTTTATTAAAAACTTATTTGTTTACCTTACCAATGTACCTATTCAGTTAAAGGAACATCTTGTTATTATAGGCGAGGGTATGTATGTCTACTTTGCTGGCGTGTGTTGTCTGACCCAGAGTCTGTCTGCATGGATGACATCAGCTGCCACATACTGATAATTAGTATTCAACTTACAGTGGCTGTATGGTGCAGTGGTACAACAACGCAGCCGTGGAACCGTGGAAAATTATATAGTATGGGGCGAGAGGGGAGGTTTTAAAAAAAATTATGATGTCAAAAGCCAAGCAAGTACAGTCACCAGAAGAGCCTTAGCAACACTGACTGAAAGAACAGGATGTTTGTTTAACAACACAGCAAAAATTACCTCAAAAATAACCATCGATTCGAATGAAAGCAAATTGAGGTAGCAACCCTGACAGCCTCACAAAAACAGAAAAGCATGAGCTTCACCATACTGTTTTACTTTTTTAAAATATGTTTTATGTTAACTTTCTGTCTCTAAGTTTGACGATATTCATTCCCCAAGTTTCTAAACCAACAGGTATAAGGTTAAATGTTTCCTAAAGAACTGTATTCCTGTCAGGGTCTGGAAGGGGGATTTAGACGATCATGTGACACTGTAACTCTCCAGTGAAACGCAGACAAATAAAATTCTTTGATGGGTGTAGCAGTTATTTAAAAGATTCCCTGTGTTGGTGAAAGTTAGTTCGTTTTCCAGATGGCTCACTCACTCTTATGAAATTGCTGTGTATTATATTCTTTACTTTTTGGAAGTAAAAGAAGCTGGTTAATGCATACAGTCTCATATCTTCGTTTCACTTGGTCCAGCCAACATGCTAGTCATCCAACACAGTCCATCCAACGCCAAAAATGCTCATTCCATGATCAAGTTAGCAATAACAAAAAAGCCTTTTGAACAACTGCCTCCTGGGTGAAAGTCCTGCGTCATCCATCCACCCCACCTCCTCCAAACTGACACCGACACGGTATCCTCTAGTATATCAGTGGGTCTATGAAACGCTTTGGCACAACATATACAAGGACACCAGTGAAAATATACAGCCCATTCAGGAATAAGTTCATTCCAAGTAATTAATAATCCATAAATAAATAATAACCAAATTTCAGAGCGATCCATCGAGTAGTTGAGACATATCACTACACAACACAAAGTGAGCAGTTACCGTCAAGAGACATTGCTGTTAATGTGTGTTATTTCTAGTTCAAAGGTTAAAGAGAGAGGGTCATGGAGTGTAAAAGATCATTTGGGATCTGAAAAATTCTCCCATTGCATTCTGAAAATGTACAATAAGGTCAGCAAATAGTAATACTCGGGCAGAAAATGTATTTCTTTGCTCTCACTAGACTTTAATAATTCAGTAGGAGATTCCTGTTTCATTAGCTTTTTCAGCCCAGTTGGATGGATAACCATGTTCATAGAATCTTGTTTTCATTCTACCTGCCTTTTCACCAAAATCCTCTGTGGTTTGTCAAATCCCTCTCAGTCTAGAGAACTTACATTTGAAAAGTGCCTCTTCAGGAGTGTTGGGTATGAGCTAGTAGCTAACAAAAGGTTTATCTTACCCTCTAAAGAATTTAAGACAAAGAAATGGCACATTTATAACCCACAAGTACTTAAAAGGACCATCTCTATGCTTTATTACATGGAATATGCCGGATTACAGTTGAGTTTTGCATAGTAAGGTGTGTGTATCCTCCAGAGTAGTGATACTTTATAACTGCCTAGAAAATTCACTCCAAGGTCTCTTAACAGTGTGTATTACCATAAATCTTACCAAGCCAGTAATCGAGCTGTGTTACACACAACCATGGTGTTATGTTTCTTGGTATTTTAAAAGGTCCTTGATATTCCTCTCTGTCTGTACGAATTGTTCTGTCTTTATCAGGTTTAATTACCAAATCATTATTTATTACACATCAGAGCCATTTTAGAAAAGTTCTCATCACTGCGAATGCCATGCTCCATTCCACTAATCTGTAGAACATGTTTACAGAAATGTTTGACACATTATGACAGAACCTGATTTTATGTCTGAATGAACAGGGTGAGGCATTTCTCAGTTTAAAGCACTTGAATAAGTTCAAAGTCTAGTTCAAACACATCAGCATCTTGTATGGCAGCCTCTGTCATCAGTGAATGAATGGGTGTGTGAATTGGTGAATGTTGATATGTGTTGTAAAGCACTTTGAGTGGTAGTTAGGATAAAAAGTGCTCTATAAAAGCAGCCCATTTACTATCAGGCAACATTGGACAAACCCCTTAAAAAGAAGTGACAATTGATCAACACACTTTAAAGCTGCTATAATCAATATTCTTACAGTAACAATGGATCTATAATGTGATGTGTATCCCCCAACTCTTCAGTTCACCTCAGCCCTACAGAGCATTGTAGCATCTTTCAGCTCATTGTTTTGGTTTGGTTCAGCTGCAGTGGGCATATGGAGGACAAATATTGGAGGACCTAGCAGCTAGAGAGATACATATTTCCCTGAGGAGTTGTTGGAGATCAAAAAAGAGAGTTAAAAGGAGAGTGGATATTAATAATTACAGTCATCAGTTGACCAAGAAGACGACTCCATATGCTAATGTTGCCCTGTCTTCTGGATGTGTAAATGAACCACTGTTTGCTAACACGTTAGCCATATCGGGTTATTATGGTGATAATGTATCATGTTTGCAGCTTGTTGTGCTGCCCCCAAGTGGCCAAAAAATCAGTGTGAGTTTTCCAGAAATTTTACTAAAGTTCAGCACAGGCTGTGCCCTGGTGTTATTGAATGTTGGTGTGTTTTGAACAATAACAGAATAACTGCTTTTAATGCATTGCAGGTTATATTAATATAGTAAGTCTTGAAAATGGTGCCATAACAGTGGTGATAAGGCAGAGAGGCCAACATAGATAGTGAGGATAACTTTCACCAGGTTGGGAGGAGAAATATTTGGATGTCGTCAAACTTGAACAGAATCTAAACACCCCCACTTTTCATCTGAAATTAAAATAACACCAAAATATATAAACAAGAACCAAAGATCAGGGAGAAACCATTAAATCCAAAGTGGGTGTTTTACTGATTAATTAAAATCTGTATTGCTTTAACCCTTACTTTTTCCTCTCCACTTCTCCTGTTCTGTTCTCAGGCCCACCTTTCGTTACTTCACCTGGCATACGTGCGTGTTGGGCATCGTGGGTTGCGCCGTCATGATGTTCCTGATCAACGCCATCTACGCCTCAGCCAGCATTGCCTTCATGCTGCTGCTGCTTCTGCTGATTCACTACCTCAGTCCCACCTCCAGCTGGGGCTACATCAGCCAGGCTCTTATTTTCCACCAGGTCTGACACACACACACACACACACACACACACACACACACACACACACACACACACACACACACACACACACACTCACACACACTCCCAATGCTGCATTGTCATTACTAGAGCAACTAAAATCTCATCCTCTCAGCTTTACAAGAGCCTGTACCTCTGCCAAGCAATCGTTCTATCAGGTTTATAGAGACATGCAGACACACACACACAGACACACAGACACACACACACACACACACACACACACACACAAACAGACAGACTGATCTCGGCTGCCTCTGCATTTTAACACACACACATTTTCCCTTGGTCTCACACATACACACAACACTGCCTTGTCATTCCTACAGCAGCTATCTATCACTTTTATATCAGCTTTACCATAACACACACAACACACACACACACACACACACACACACACACACACACATCTGCATCTTTTCCCTCAGCAAACCTCTCTATATTTATTACACATACAAACACACACATGCAAACACACGCACACACACACACACACACACACACACACACACACACACACACACACACACACACACACACACACACACACACACACACACACACACACACACACACACACACAGAGCTTTACATCATCCAGCTCTCCATGTCCTCTATCTGGCGAGCCTGTTGCTCTCAAGGAGAGGGGGCATCGTTGCCAGGAGGGCCCGTTGCCGAGGGGAACCGTTGCCAAGGCTGCGGGCAGGGGTTGTGGGCAGGGAGGGTGAGGGTGGTTGGGTTTGCCAGCAGCTTGTCAGGAGGCAGAACATTATTACAACCACTTAACTTATTGAGTTTCTCCTCCTGTCCTCCTTCCCCTCCTTCCCTTTTCTCATCCTGTTCTACTTCTCTCCCTCCTCTGCTGTTTCTCTTAAGCCAAGACAGCAGCTACAAGCAGGGGTGGGGCCAATCTCATTGACCACCCATGGGGATATTTGAAGTCGGAAGGTGATAGGTAGTCAGCTTATTAGTATCATGGATGGATTACTGAACAGGCCTACTAGGTACAGGCCCAGGGCCCCTGGACCAGAGCCTCTGTATGAAGAGACTATTAACACACAAAACAACTACAAAGCAAATGCAAAACGGCCACACATCAACACGCAAAATAACCACAAAGAGATGCAAGACAGCAAACACCACTTGTGTTATTAAACGATGACGTCTTTTAATCACAAGACAAAACTCAAATTCATTCAGAGTTGTTTTATGTCTCTTTGAGTCTGCGTCTAGCTCCTATGCCGGAGGAGTGTGGGGCCTTTTACAAGTCTGTGTCCGGGACCATTGTCTCATATTCTGTCTAAAACTGTAGGCTATTTAGAGTTATAGCAATATATTATTTCAGATTAAAATAAAAGTTGTTTATTTGGCATTCATGTATTACACCAAATGAAGAATGCAACTATTAATAATGTACAGTTTATTATTGCCAAGACTCAAGGATTTACATGTGCGCAAACACATTTTACTCATTTTACAAAACTTACTTACCTCCTTTCGTTAAAAATGGGCCCCAATATGCAGATTACACTAATAGGACTAGCAGAAGAGGCCAAGTCTGTGCATGTACATATCTCATACATGCACTCATCTTCTGCTCCTGCACCCCCCCCCCCAACAGTAGCCAGTGTGGCAGGGTGCCAACTGGGTGACATTGAAGCAGGGACAGGGGACACAACAGCTCACAACAACAAAAAACACACTGGGAGATAACAGACGGCTGACAACAGTGTTTAGGAGAGAAAGAGAACAAAGAAAAAGACAAACTGAGGCAAGAAACGTTGATGGTATCATGGGAGGGGAAGATATAGACAGAATATAAGCAGGCAGAGGGGATGAGTGATTGAGAAACTAAGTGATGGATGAGACTGAAGCGACACAGAAATGATGATAGCCTGATGGATGAGAAGACAGGGGGAAATAGAGATAAAGAGAGACAGATGATGAGATGAGTGGAGGCAGTTGGACTTCGCCTCTGAGGCCTAGTTTTTTGGTTTTTTACGGCAATTAGCGGACGGGAGCATGAAAACAGTTATGGTGATTATGGTAATAATGTTGGAAACAGTTGCATCTTCATTCTTGATTGATGGCTGTATAGACACAAACGTACACTCGGCAGCTTCAGGACCTTGAGCTAAACTTGTATCGCCAAGACAGTCATTAGTGGCACAAATGTTCTGGTTCTTTTTTAGGCTAAACCCGTAAGTGGAGCTGCAACACAAGGAAATTTCTTTCAATTTTTCTACAATTTCAGAACATTTAGTCTATTAAACGCACCCTGAAAGTGTTTTCAAGTATTTTTAGTCTTTCTCAAGTGACGCCCTCCTGCTTTAATTGGCTAGTGCTTTAGGCCCCACTCCCTCCCCCTAAACTTGAGGTGATTGCTTGACTCCAGTAAAGTTCACTTTCTTCACGACATCCCCGGTCTGCTTGCGTCAGATATGATTTGCTCTCCGACTTTGTAACACCAAGACAGTTTCACTCACTGCACTTTTAATAAGGACCATTCAAGAGTGCGAAAATCATGAAAACCATAGAATTATCCTTTAAAGCTACCCTTCATCTCTCAAAGAGGTGAATCCAACAGTGTGAGGAGCAGCTTTAACATGGCGGACATGCCGTCACTGAGTTAATAGTCATTAATGCCAATGAGGGTATAAATGGAGTGTTAATCATTCCTAGTAGACTGGAGGTTTAGATCTAATGTTTGGTTCCACTTGGTTACATTTCCTTAATGGTACCTTGATGCAACCTCATCAACACACTCTCAGAATCTTAATGACGGTTGTGTTATAGTGTGCATTATAATAGAAACTGATGCACGCTAGCAATTAAGCGCACACTCAGCAATCACAGAGGGGACATTTTTACCAATAAGAGTTTGATTGACACATGTGTATGCATGCGTATACGCATATAAACAGACGGAACAAATATATACATACAAACAACTTTTGATGCCTCCCACAGAATATTATCTTAATGAGATGTTGATAAAGCATATAATGTGTTTCTACATGAGATAAGCTACAATACAACAGCTCATACATACTTGTATTGTACTTGGACAGTGGTCACTGTGGCAGTGTGACAGTTACATCAGAAAAATTGAGTTTACTTCTTATTTTACTTTTGGGATAAAACAATTGAAATGCTGTGTGACATTTTAACACACACACAAAGTGAGTCAAAAAGTCAGTGAACTGATTAAGTAATGTCAGTTAAACAGCAATATCTATGTAACGTTTGCTAACATCAGCCACCATAAGTATAAGTACTGCTACAGCACAAAACTTTTGTCATTCTTAACATCATATGTAAGAGGAAGATTGTGCTGTTTCTTCTTTCAAAAGTTACATGGCCTCACTTAAAAGTAAGTAGGTAGACAGCCACGTAGGCCAGCCAATCCTTTCATTCAGGCAGAATGAAGTGATTGGATTGGGCTTATTACAGACCTGTGACTGCTACAGGTACCAAATTTTTTTATTTAAATTAGTTTAGAGCATTTGATTTATTGATTGCTGTCGGGATGTAAAGAGAATTTCAACAAATATGCCAAAAATGCTTCTGAAATATATTACCTACTCTAACTTTAAGTCAAAAGATAGACGGGAAAGTCCACTGATCCATATCATGCAACTAATTTGCTTAACTGAGTTTCTTGGCAGCTCATTCAGGTTATTGAAATCACTTTCATCCAGTCCACTCCTCTGACACTGCCAGATCTGTCGTGGTGGCTTTTGAGGGATTTGTTTTTCTTATGTATTTGTCTTTAAGACATCAGAGAATAAATATCTGGGCATGATAAATCACATTTTGGGAACAGTGATCAGTGAAATAAAAGTGGTAGCCATTGATCATATCACATGATCTTCATCAGCAGATGACAATGTTTGCCATGTAATAAGCTTAAGTTACTAAATTGACCTTGTGGTGAAATTGTTTTGTCATTTGCATATCTGCCAGTTTAGTAGTTCAGGTTTGTGAGTTTGTGGCCATCTGGAAAAATGTCTAAAAATGTTTTTATCAGTTATTTTGTGCACCAGCCAGGAAAAAGCCAACTAATATTCCTGTAGTGTTTCAGTGGTATTTTATTATCATCCTTGTATTCCAATGAATTTCACAAAATAAAATTCCTGAAACGGGTGAAATGAATTTTGATTAATTACCTCATCCTAAACCTGACTATACTATAGTTTTTGATAGTCTTCAGCTAAAATATATAAACAAGCTGTTGGAGCTGAGGGGCTCAAATATACACTCATACCATTAAAATATGCAGTACCTGCACCTCTCCCTACATCAAATAAGCTCTTTAACATTGTTGTTTCTAAAGGGTTTTACTTAACAAATGTATTTTCCTTGTGCAAAAGAAATTATATAATGTAAATGTGAAATTGACTATTGGGTTTATTATACACTGCTGCATGAACCCCATGTGAAATCTTAATGCACCAATGATCCATAAAAGTTACTTCCCCTTTCTGCACACGTCTCCAATCATGGACGAAAAGCAAAACGTGAAACCGACATTAAATATATGATTGATTATCTTCATGTCTATATATGGCCAGTTTCTCCTTGCTTAATTAAAACACTGCAATGATTTTGCGAGCAGAAGGATTGTCACAAATAAAATCTGTGGGCTGGCAAATACGTGTTATGCAGAAAATCTCCAGTGCAAGTGTTGTAAGCATGTTTGTGCAAGTTACATCACCTGCATGGAAGTTCAGTGGTCCAGAGTCCACTGGTAGGATTGCAGGGTTAAATAAGAAGGAAGACAGGGGTGAAGATAACAACATGTTTCACAATAACAACCCTCACCCCAATTCTCTCGACTCCTTATAGGTGCGTAAGTACCTGCTGATGCTGGACGTGAGGAAGGACCACGTCAAGTTTTGGAGGCCTCAAGTCCTGCTGATGGTTTCCAACCCTCGCAGCAGCGTGGGCCTCATCACCTTCATCAACGACATCAAGAAAAGCGGCCTCTACGTGCTGGGACACGTCCAGCTAGGAGATCTCAGTAAGAACACTGAAATTCAGTTCAGCCTCCAGAAACGGACCTGCTGTTAAGTCTCTGATTATGTTCGGCTCTGATGCCTGTTACATTTTATCTACTTAACACCCAGTACAGCCATGATGGAAATCAGTTAGCTTTCCTGTGAACCATCGAGAAAGTACTCTGTGAAGTTCTTTTGCGTGACAACAAAAGCTCATTAGGAGTACTTGAACGTTTACTTCTGCACCATTTCTGGCACAGTGTGACAGGGCAACTATTAATTATGAGCAAAACAAATCAGGGCTGGTGATGGGATATAGTTTTTGCATAATTTAACATTAACATGACATTTAGACAAAACTAAAAGCTTGTTGTTTTTTTTGACTGTCAGTATTATTGCTGAATTTTAATAGCTATTTGTCGTACAACTCTTTTCTAGAACATGTAGCAATATTGCCACTTTACTTTAAGTGTTTTCACTCAGAACCAGCTCAAAATAACTGTAAGGTCTTTTCAAAATGTGTAAGTATACAAATTATCAAAATGCCTGAAGCAGTGCATCATTCAATAGACCTTTTCACCATGCTAGACCTTTTTCCATGACATCGGCTCGTCTGCCGCTATTTTATTTCGAGGGAAGCAATCACGCACACAATGCTCTGGAGGCGTCTCCTTTCTTTTCTGCAGAGGACCACACTTACAGACTGTAAAGGAGCAGGGTCATTGATTGTTTTCTTTGTCTTTCGAGGGTTTTGTTGGGGAGGGTTATGTGTTGATGGGAGACTGGGACGGGCCCTGAATGGAGTCTTCAGAATCCAAATCCTCTTCATCTGCTTCACAGTGGCAAAAAAAAGACATGTTCATTAGCCACTGAAGAGCCCTTCTCTCATTTTGAGTACTGTCGAGGCTCTTGGTCTTGAGAATTATGAAGGAGTCATTCATTCACATAATTGCACTGAAGAGGAGTTTGTTGCTGAGAACTCCCAGCTACTTCCAAACTGCCCTCCTAATGTATTAGGAGGGTTGTCCATTTGTTCTCTCACTTGTCTGGCAGCTGTGTGCTTTTACGCTGAATGCAAAGGATAGTGTTAGAAGTCGGAAGAGGTCCTAACGCAGCTTAAACTACCGCAGGAATTGTCTCTGAAGCTTGCAGATGGGGCCTCTGCATTTCTCTCTACATACATATTGATGGTTTTTTTGGATGATTGATCACCTGCCTGCCTGTTTGTGCTCCCCTGTATCTTTCTCTCTGTCTCACATTCTGTCTGTGCTGTCATTTGTGCTTGCATCTTTCTCTCTGAGCCCCCCCACATCTCAGCATCTTGTCTCGTATCTCTCTCACGCTGTGCCTCTAATTCCAGCACTGTCATACTGACTTCTCTGCTCTTTCCTTTGACTTGTATATCAATTGTTCTTGGCCTTCTCTTTCCTTTACCTTCTCTGAATCCCAATATGCTTCTATTGAACTGTCAGTTATATTTCTAACGGCATACTTTTTTGTTTTCTTCCACCCTCCCAGACACCTTACCATCCGACCCTCTGCAGTCCCAATACGACTCCTGGTTGTCCCTGGTGGACCATCTGAACATCAAAGCTTTTGTCAACTTGACGTTGGCTGATTCTGTGCGTCATGGGATCCAACATCTCCTCTTCATCTCTGGACTAGGTCAGTGTCACCATCACCTTCACAAAAGGTGCCTGTCGGTCAGTAACAACATTGGGGAGACTACATTGATATCTGGGATTACAGCTGCTGATAGCTTAAGCAGATTTGTGTGCTGTGATTTGAGATTTCTGTCCTTTTACAGGCACTAAAATTACAATTATAGCCGCTATGTGAAGTATTTTATGTGATTACAGTATTTTTCTAGGTTTTTGTTTGGAGGGAAAAAAAACAGACAATCCTTTCAAATTCTACACATAGTGGCTTTAAAGCTTCAGTTTCATTCAACACTTACACCTTTCACTGGAACTATCAGCACTTCCATTTTACTTTCATTTTGTTTCAGCTGCCACATCAGTTTCTTTCAGTGCTTCAAATGTCAAGTACAACATCATGTTCTTAAATATGTAAAAACCTGCGATTACTGCCATACAAAGGCATTTCAAACACATTTCAACAGTTTCAGATGTTTCCACTGCACATTTTTAGCTCATGAGCACACATTTAAATCTTATAAAGAGCAGCCATTTTTTCTAGTTTATTTATTTCAGCTTGTTTCCAGGCACGTATTGTACTTCAGGTGTAGTTTTTTTTTCTGACTGTAGTTTTAATTTTTGTTTCAACACTACACTAATATTTTGGAATGCTCTCCTCTTCAGTAACACCCACTGTGAACTGTAAATAGCTTTGACTCTGAGTGTTTTTCTATTTCTTTCCTTGTTATTTGCTATCTTCCTACTTTCCTGAGAATTGTCACTCATGTCTAACTCTGACCAGTCTTTTTTTCTCCAGCCCTCTCTCTTATCTCTCTTTGACTTCCCTCCAGTTCTCACTCCAGCACTTGTCTTCTTCACAACTGTCTTACTTTCCTCTGATAGAAGGACTGACCCTCTACCTCTACCCTTCACTTAACTACTCCAAAAATCTATGATAATGATAAAGAAATGATTTGCATTAGATTCTAAAAAAAGGTCTTGTCCCTCATTTTTCTTTTCTCCTCTTTCTAGGTGGGATGCGTCCTAACACCCTTGTCCTCGGTTTCTATGACGACTGTCTCCCAAATGACAAGCTGATTGATCCGTCGCTGTCTACCATCCAGTGCACCGATCCCTTGGGCCCCTTGCAGGAGCTTGAGCAGCAACCCCCCCTTTTCCACTTTTCCTCCCTGCGGGGGTCCAGCGACAGACAAGATTATGGTGAATTTGGAGACGGGAAGGTTCTAGGACCCCAGGAGTATGTAGCGATCATTGCCGACGCCATGAAGATGCTGAAGAACGTGGCGCTTGCCCGATATTTTAACAACTTTGACCGAGCCCAGGTCCTCTCCCCGCCCTCCTCCTCTCCAGGGAAGGGAGCTGTGTACGTTGACGTCTGGCCGGTGAACCTCCTGCGTCCCGACAGCAGTAGCTACGTCGATACCTGCTCTCTGTTCCTGCTACAGCTAGCGTGTATCCTGAACATGGTGAGAGCCTGGCGCAAAGCTACGCTCCGTCTCTTCCTGTGCGTGGAGCAGGGACGAAGCGTGAGAGGCTCGGAGGAGAAGCTGGGTCAGCTGTTGAAAGAGTTGAGAATTAAAGCTCAGGTCTACCCCGTGCCCTGGGACCAGCAGGTGGCGCTACACTGGCAGCGCCAAGGCGAGTGGGGCAAGAAGCAGCAGTCGCAGTCCCCTGATACCACTGAAGAAGAGAAGAAGCAGAAAGCAGAGATGGAAGAGGAGAACGAAGACGATTACGTTAATAGCTTCCCGAGCAACGCTACTCGCCTGTCCGATGACTACCTGTCAGCTGTCAATAAGCTGATCCTGGACACGGCCCAGCCCGCCCCTGCTGTGCGTTTCCTGTATTTGCCCCGACCCCCAGCTGACACCCGCCGCTACACCACCTACTTACACCAGCTGGAGCTATTGACCCAAGACCTGGGCCCCACGCTGCTCATCCACGGCGTCACGCCTGTCATCACCACTGACCTTTGAGCGATCCCCCTCCCTCAGCTGCTGAGGGCTGGTGAGTTGAGCAGTGTCCCCACCAGCTGCTGATGTTCTCTCTGAAGGTGTGTTGACCACTTTTAGTGCAGCATCACTGCAGAGCTCCGCAGTGCCTCTGTACTGACCTCTCCACCCAACGACAGACTGGGGAAAAGTAAACTGCCTTGAAATTTGACCCAGACAGGGACGCCACTGCTGACTCATTGATACCATCTGCACTGCCTCGCAAAATTAACGTAGAACACACAGTCTCTAGAGATACAGCCTATTTTTAAATATTTAAAATGAGGACTGGATAATATACTGGGCCACTTTGATTCCAAAAATCCTGACTGTCTACATGTTTAACCCTTCTTTATTTTTAATGTTTTTTTCCACTTGTATTTCTGGTATTCCCATCAAACTTCTGAAGGCACCGTGATGTTAATCTTTTAGGTCAACCTTGTTGCAATTTAAGCAATCAGAAACAATCAGACTGTGATTAAATGAACCAAAGTGAACTTTTCAGACAAATGTACAACCTGCCAAGCAGGAGAGTTAAAAGCAGTATAAAGTAGAATAGGATATTATTTTTTAATCCATTTGTACCCATGTTACAATGCTCACCAATGGTCAGCAAGCTGACAGACCCACAGGGGATCATTTATATTTCCAGCGCACCTCCATCACTCACCAGCTACTTCTTCATCCACACAGTAGAGAGAGTGCTCTATTTCCTGATACATTCTAACCTGAATTGGCAGTGTTCCCTGACTCCCCTTTCTTGAAATACTTTCTTGGTGTGCTGCTGCTCAGATTCCTTCAAATGATCATTCCATATGCCTTCAGATCAAAAAGTGCCTTGCCTGTTAGGGAGCAAAAGTTTGGACTCATTCCATCACGGACAGAAAGTTGGACTGCATTACACCTTGAGCAGTCATTTGCAGGAAATCTGCTTTTCCATTTTAGCAGCTTAAACAAAGGAAACAGTTGAACACAAACGTCTACGGTGCTACTACGGAAGTCTTCAAAGTTTTATTCCAAAAGTGATTTTATGTGGGATCTCAGGAAGACATTCCTCCTTTTTTCCAAATGCACTTTTGTTCTTCTTCTGCCAAACTGCATGTTGTGCAGCTCCTTAAACATGTTTACAGCGCCAATACCTACTGTGATTACCCACCATATTTTATTGATTGTTTTTATGTATTTTAGGTACTCTGTAACTTTTAGAATTGTTTTTACTCACTAGTGACCAAACTGCTTGACCAGACTCAACACTGATGTGCCTACAGTAAATTAATTTTAATATTAGCTCAACTCTACAGCCTCAGCTTTTACTTTAAGCATTTGTAATGTTTCAAGTGAACTTTCGCTGAACAGTGGCCACAAATGGCATTTACTGGAAACTGGTAAATACTAAAACATAGTGTACCAGTAGCACAAGAACAGACCCTGAGTGTACTGACTTTAGAAAGGTACTTTTTATTGCTTATACATTGAACCTGTCATTTTTAAGAGAGGAAATTGATATTTCTTCCATCAAAAGTTACATAAGCATCACCGTATTACAGTGTTGTACTTCCCTGACATCAGTGTCAGTTGCAGGTTTGTTGTAAAAGAAATAATCTAAAGGGTTGGCATCCTTGAAGTTTAAATATCTGAAGCACAAATAGATTCTTTGAGTTTAAAAGACTTGTCCTGACAATCTTCATCACACTGACTTTGACACAAATGTGAGGTTCAGATCCATATTTGAAGACAGACTGGTACTTGGATTTGGACTAATCTCGATCTCCCTGTGTTTGAAATGAGAGATATGTTTACTTGTAGACCAACTGGATCCTATTTCCACAGATGGGTTCTTGTTTGGACACTACATTCCTCAACAAACCATTGTCACTACATTACTTCAAATCTTTGGCTCTTGAACTCACAGGAGTGCAAAAAAACCAGCCAGCACCTGCAGGACACACTCGTTTACTGCAGAGATGAAATGTTCAGTGATTGATTTTCTGTTTAAATCTAAAAATATATATGTATACTTTACAAGATGTAAACTGAAATTACATAAAAAAGAAGTTTGTTTTACGTGTCTTTCCTTTTCTTTTTTTTTTTTAACTTCCTCAGGAGATTGTTTTTCGAAAGCCAGATCAAACTTAACAACCCCTCAGAGTGTCCGGACTTTGTTTCATTTCAGCTGAAGACCAGTTTGTGCGTCTCAGAGCTCAGAGCTGAGGGTTTTTTGCGTCCGCTGCACTTGTTTGTTTGAGGTAAACCTTGGAAATAGAGGCTGAGATAGCTCAGCAGCTCAGACAGAGAGATACTGGAGGGTGCCAGCCAGCCAAATTACCTTGTCCTACAGTCACCCTCGCCGCCAACCAGGCAGAAATGGATTCCATCTCCGCTCTGAGGTGAACAACAGATTGGAGAAATAAGCCCAAATAACCATCGATATCTGTTCAGGAGGAGGGAGGCTGACATTTATCACTGAGGGAAGGACCCCAGCTCTGAGAGGATTTTGTGTGTGTGTGTGTGTGTGTGTGTGTGTGTGTGTGTGTGTGTGTGTGTGTGTGTGTGTGTGTGTGTGTGTGTGTGTGTGTGTGTGTGTGTGTGTGTGTGTGTGTGTGTGTGTGTGTGTGTGTGTGTGTGTGTGCGTGTGCAACAAGATAGATTCAGGTTTTCTTCATTTGTTCATGTGAGGTTAATAAAATACTTCCATGAAGAGAAATGAGTCTAAATACTGGTGACAAATGCATATACCAAGTGATGGTGTTCACAGACATATAGCAACCAGTTTGAACAAAAAACAGTTTTACAAAAAAATACAACCCACCTTGAATAAATGATTCGGCATATATAGTCCTGTTCATTCATCTCAACATTTGCTTCCTGTACATATAAATAATCTCATCTGAAAGTGTTTTTTGGGATTAATTTGCATATTGTCGAATGTGTCTTACAGGTGTGGACAGTGTTGCGCCTGTTGAGGAGTTTTGAGACTCTTCACAGCCTCTCATTCACAAATCCATGTTGCATTTAAGTGCTGGCGGAAAAAAACTCAAACAACCAGCTTTTCAGTGCATTAATGTGCAATTTCACCTGGGTAATACTGTCGATGGGTGGGCCCTGTTCGTCACATGTTGATAACTGAGTGATGTTTAAGGGTAACATTGTGTTGGCCTTTTGTCATTTGAACAGTATGTATTTAAATGTATGGAGTTTACTTGCATTGTAAGTACAGACTTTATTCACATGGATAGAAACAACTTATTTTAAATTCAGAATAAGTTATTTAACTAAAGTTAAATTATTTAAATATGTCTGAATCTCAAACTCTATTTAGTCTAATATCATCATGAATAAAATCTACTCTATTTGGAGCTCACCATCACTCACAGTATGAACTCATTCACTCATAATAACTGTTACAACCATCGCGTGGAGAGCACAATGTAGAACCAAATAACACCAGTAACAAGAATGCACATAGAATGCCACCCAGTGCAGGGGTAGGTGACCTTTGCAATCATAAGACAGATAAAAATCCATTTCAATTTGAGGCTTATAATGCTAACGTCTCATCATCAAGCATACCAGTAAGGTGATGAAAGCAAACGAATCTGTCCAAGCACTATTACATTGTTTATTTTCCTCTGAGACTTTCTTTTTTTGGATTTGGAATCCATGGCTAGCCTAGTTATGGAGTCTCGAGACTACTGAGGTTTGCTAAAATATATGCACCAGTTCAGGACGTGACATATGACTCACATTTTTTGATGAAATGTTAACGTGTGTAATGACTACACAGTTTTGCAATTGGAGGATGTAATAATTATATTAGGCCTACAATATTGATAAATGAAAATGTGAGTTTCAACTCTACACATTATTTCAAAATAAGAGTAAATAATCAAGATCACTTCATCCAGGATTAGTAAATCAAGCAGGATCATTTTATCTTGATGACAGCATGCTAGCCTGGATTAGTTGAGCCATGTTTGAAGAACTGGACCCTGTGCTGGTCCGGTCGATAAGCATTTCTATAGAGGTCAGGGAAGGGACATAGCAGTACAGTATAACAGTATGACAGTACAGTCAGATCTGTGCACAGAAACATTCTGTAAATAAATGGCAAAAAATAATTTTAGACATTTACATGCCCTAAGCAAAGGTTATCTATGAAATTGAAGTTTGGAATATATATGTAGAGATTTATTCAAGTTGTGTTGTATTTATTTGTTCAAACTGGTTGGTATGATTGTGGACAGGAAAATGTATTTGGAAAACTTATTTTTAATTCTGGATTTTGAAACACGCTTATTTGACACTAATTTCTCTCCTTATACTTCAGGCTTCAGGAATACATTTTACATTCAAAGTGTTTCGTCTGTTAAAATAAAAAAGCTGCAGGCCACAGAAAACAAGAGATGGTGACAGGAAGGAGGAGGGTGGCTGTGGCAGAGGAGAGGAACCGCTCACCCAAAGGGGCTTTCCTAAATGTGTGTGTGACAGAATCAAAGATGGAGACCATCAGGGCTGAGTGTGTGTTTGCCTCCGAGTCCAAAACTCTGCTCTGTCATGTCTGCAGCCCTGATCAGAGGAAACTTGTCACTACCTTGTCACTTCCACCGTATGTCATAGCCCTAACCCCCAGGCACGCCACCGGGATACACACACACACTTTATCACTTATAATTTCTGCCGCACTTTCCATTTCATCTCCCTCCCTGCATCTTCAGATCCACTTAATTTTACATGACACACAGATTGCCAGAGTCATCAGATGGATCAGAGGGAGAGATGGAGGGGGGGGAGGCTGGTGGGGTGTCAAGTAGAATTTAGTTAAGGTTTTTTCGGAGGCCAAACAGACCCCTGGCTTTTCCCACAAATCATGTTTGCATTCCAATATGCAGAATGTGAGTGTGCACATTGAGATTACAGTGCAAGGGCATTTAAAGAGTTCAGCACAGCAGTCGTAGTCTGATTGCTAAAGCGTCCAAAGCACTTCTTCCCTGCTGTGATTGTACGGCTACTGTATGTTTTTAGAAGCGTGGCACTAAGCATGCTCTGAGCTGAGTGTGTGTACATGTGTTTTGTGCTCCTTATTGACAACAATTCCACAGGAAAGTGCGCTAAGTGAGCTAAAGTGAAGGCAAATCATTTTTCTTCATGAATATGAGCTCAGTGTGTGTGTGTGTGTGTTGCTCAGCCAGTGGGCACCTCATTGTGTATTGCACTGGTACCCTAACCTTTTTACTTAAGGGATCCCTTTTCCATCATTTACTGATGACTGAATAGATCAATGGCCGAACACCAGGGACAAAAAAAACACTGAATTTGTTTTAAAAAAGAAGCCTTTTAAGTCTGTATGATTGTTAAAAAAATTGCGAAACACATAATACAGACATAGAATTTCTAAAAAGTTCCCTAAACAGAAAATATATTCATCCAAGTGCCATCGTTTTACACAAACGTCTTTGAGTTCACTGTTTGGGTTCATTGTACAGTTTTGAATGTAATATGAAATCTGTCACTTAGTCTTAAAGATAGGAAAGGGTCTCTTAAGGAACAAGGTCGGGATCTACTGGTGTATTGCTCTGACATACATTATAAATAGTGTGAAACCTGTGTGGGGTTTTTTAGGTAAATATTTTGAATCAGCCATCACTTTCTTACAGAAGGTATTCAGTGTTTGACCTGCAGTGCTGTAGACCGGACTCGAGATGTGTTTTCTGCTGTCTTGCCCATGGCCATTGGTCTTGGCAAATATTTCAAACTCCATCCAGAACAGACACTCACAAAGGCAAATGCATTCTTCTTTTCTGTCTCTGTCTTTCTCATTTGGTCTTGATTTGGACTCAAACCTCTTTGGTCTCAACTTGTCTTGGACTCAAGACATTTGTAATAAATTGTGTTTTACATTTTAGATGGGATTGAACATAGTACTGAGATATTCTACTTCTTAAACCTGTTGAATACATTGAGCATTAACCTCATCAGACCTGCCCCCCATCAACGCTCACCCTCCAATCTTTTCCTACAGAAAAGCCCTGATTTACCAAACTAAAACTTATTGTAGCAGGACACTAAAACTTTTCATCAACACCCAGTCTAATAGTGGTATCATTCATGCCAGAGTAGCAACACTGACAGCACTATTCTTCCAAATGTAACACACACTCTTCACAGACACTTCTGTCTGGCTGTGTTGTGTCTAAGCGGGAAACTTTATAAGCTGTTTAAACTCAAACAGCCAACATCTCACCAGGTTGTGCGTGCAGTTGTTTGAATAAGGGAATTGAATTAGAGTAGAGCGTAAAAACGCAAATCTGCAATGTTTATCCACCCTTTGCAAACTAAGGGAAAAAAGTGGATGTACTGAACATCATTTGAGATGACTTCAAACCTGTGATGTATCCTCTGGATGTGGGTTTCATATACTGGACTGTTGGGGGGAGCATGAAATGACTAGTTTATAAGAGACTATTAAATGTAGGGCTTAGAGAGTTATGGTGTAATGAATTAAATTGATATAGAGTGCATAGGAGAATGTAGGAAATGCATAGGAAATACTGTTTAAATATCAAGCTATGGATTCTATAGACCCTGATGGTGATGACGAACATTGAAGTGGAAGCTCTGGATGGATGTGACATGCAGAGTTCATTAGATCGACCTGCAGCTGGACACGCTGGGTCTGGGTGGAGATGTGTTCCACCAGTGGAGCACTGAAATGACATCTGATGGGGAGTCAAGAAAGGTTTTAATTCTGATAGCAACAAGATTATTGGTTACCAGAGCTCAAGGCCATATCCAATTGATTGAAGTGAACAGGGGAAATGCCCACAGAAGGCTGATTGAGCTGGAGGCACAAAACGAACAAAGAAAAGCATTAATCAGAGAGAAATTCACACCACAGGAGGGTCTGGTAAAATTATTTTTCTTTTAGCTCTAGGTGTAATTACCGCTAAGCCTCATGGCTAACAGCGACAAGGCCATACACAAGAAACACAAGAAAGGACTGAATGGTCGGCCCTCTCCAGTCCTCTTCTCAGATTAACAACCGTGCATCGAGCTCAGTTTGTTTC